CCCACCGCCCAAAGCCTCTGCCAGCTTGTCTTGCTGAACTTCCTGGGCTGCGACCAGCTCTTTGTTGGGTACAGTAGGTAATGTAGGGGCCTTGGGTTTTGGGGGTTCCTTGTTATATCCAAGGGTAAAAGGAGGGACCCTTAATACGGACCCCTAGGTATCTGCCCTTAATGTAGCCATTATATACCCATGATATAGCCAATTATAGGGTAAGGGTCCTCATTAAGGTTCCCCTTTGATTATAAGTAGAGCCTAATGGGCCCCAAAACCCTATTCTGAGTATTAAGGCCCCCAATTTCAGGTGAGTGCACGCGGATTCTCAGGCGTTCGCTTCCCTTTTACCTAGTTCTTTTTACACCAGCGGATCTCAACATGACAAAAGCAGCTTACTATCTGAGGGTTTAGGGTTTAGGGTTAGGGGCTCCCAAACACAATAACCCTGACACGCCGTTGACAGCCTTAAACCCCTGAGTCCAGAGAACCCCCCAAAGACACAACCCCTGAACCCCTACAGACTCTCAAACTTAAACTAACATCCCTAATGTAAACTGTTGATTAATGAGCCCCTCATCCCTTAATCTGCAGAAAGGAGATGTATCATCAAAATCAACACGGTAATTCCAAACTGTTGACACTTTGGGAGCCGGTCGCAGACAGAACAGTGTCGAATCTTCAATAAATGAGGAACACCTCGACATGAAACCCACGTAAGCCGATATACAAGACCCATTATTGGACCTGGTATCATCCAACACCATAACACATTAATTACCGCACCAAAATGCCAAAAAGCATGACCCGACTAAATCTGCAGATAGTCTGGCTAGAAAGATACCGGATACCTGTATAAGCCAAGTCACGACCTATAAGGCCAGCGCAGCCAAACAATGATAAAGCACCGCCAAGACCAGGACGACCACGACCACCATAACCACCACTATGATCCGCAGGACTACCGGAAGACTTTAAGAGCTTCTGCTTCAGAAGCCCCGGAAAAACCCTAAGCCCCAAACCCGGCTTTCATCGCCCAAACCCTGTGTAAATATCTAATGAGAATCTTCTAGTTTAGTAACCCTAAACCCCAAGCCCTGCTTGCCCCGCCGAAACACCCTAATCCCTAAACCCTGAAGCCCTATAGAACCCTATACAGCCTAAACCCTCAAGCCCTACAGACCCTAAGCATCCCTAAGCCCTAAATCAACAAGCCCTATAGACACTAAACCCTAAGGCCCTATGGACCCTAAACGCTCTAAAGCCCTGTAGACCCTACATCACGAAGCCCTACTTTCATCGCCGAAACACCCTAAAACCTAAACCCTAAACCCTGCAGCCCTACCCCTCTCAGAAAGTAACATCAAACCATGCTTCTAGGTGGGGCTTTTGAAGCCTTTGAAAAATGTTAGTAAATAAGATCCTCTAAACCTCAAAAGGGGAAAATGTAAAATGTCCCAAATTCCTACCTAGGCTTTCATCGCCGAAACACCAGCTGCTGGCTCTGCGTGATCAACCCATTGAGGTTCGACCGCTGCTCGGCCAAAACGGCCTCGGGGTTTGGGGTTTAAAGGGAACTCCAGAAAGTTGGAATATGGTTTCAGGGTAGGATACCCTATAATTTACCATAAAGGGTTTAGGATAATCATATTCCAACTTTCTGGCTTATACTTTAGGGCCTACAGGGTGGCCCAAATCCTAGACGCTGAACCCTGACGCTGGCTTCAAGCAATCGTATCTCCAGAATCCTATATCTTCAGTTGCCCTCCCCAAAGTACCCTCTAATGGACTGACGGGGCATTCGGGGGGTCTGGTCTTCAGCTGCCTTTAATTAAGCACTTCCCACCTCCAAGCTCGTCTTGGAGCACATGGCAACGAGCTCGAGCTACACGATGCGCATACGAGAAGGTAGGCCCTAAAAAGCCTAGATTCGGGATCTTTACGCCACCTTGATAGGCAGTTTATGGTGGCATGTGGAAGGTTTTCTTTGCCGATAGATTATTAGGGGTTAGAATTGAGGGTGTTCTACTTGCATTTACTTGATCAGGCGCACGATGCTTCATGTAGACTCTTATCTCGCCGCACATCTTGCATCCATGGCCCTCAAGCTAAGCCCTGAACCCAAACGGCTTGTGCGGCCGCGAGAGTGGCGACAGGTGTGAAATACTTGACGCGCACAGCATCCTCCTCACGCCTAAGCTGCGAAGCGTTGAACCTGAAGCCCAAAAAATAAACCTTAAACCCTCATCCCTAACACAAGAGCTTCAAACATCCACCGCCACAGGCCACAGGAGCCCGACTGCACACTTTGACACGACGTTCCTCGGCTATATGGCTGATGGGCAGAAGCTGTACAGGCCCGAGTTTATATATGGGACATATGATGGTTTAGGGTTGAGGGGTTTATTTAGGGTTGAGGGTTTCCATATCCAAGGTGATGCCAGTGTTCTCATACCTAGGGTTCTGCCTATCAGAAGTACTGGAACTTCCGTATCTCACGAGGTAGCAGCAGTCCCAGCAAAAACGTTTCGGGAGAAGTCCTGAGTTGGAAGGGCTGGAAACACGCTTGCATCCGGGATTCTTCCGTTTAGGGTTTAGGAGTTTAGGGTGTTTGAATCGACGACAACAGTATTGATAACAACTAAAACACAAACCAACAACAGACCTGACTGCCAGCCGACTGCGCTGCTTGCCCACCTGTTAGCGTAGTCTTGCCCCAGAGGGCTGCAGGCCCTCAACACTAAACCCCAAAACGGCTTGGGTTTCGGACTTCGGTGGTTTTTGGGTAAACGCTACTTCAGTAAACCTTAAGCTTCCCAAACCCTTACATGAATGAAGGGAACATCGGATCCTAAGCACAATTCTTCCAGCTCGCCCAGAGAGCTTGGTACCCCGGAACTAAGTATCAGAAAATTCGGACCCCCTATCCATGATTGAAGTAGGATCTCTATATGTAAGTGCATGGCCAGGCGGGTTTTGAACTCCCTGAGCACGTTGGCACATTTTGCAAGAGAGCGCATGCGATCGAAGAAGTGTTGTGGTGAAGCCCTCTCCTCATCCGAAACCTGGCTCGAGCTGCGAGCTGCGGTCTTGGTAAACAAGGACTCAGGCATTCGGTATACGCGCTTGGGTTTACAGGGACTATAGGGTTTAGGGATTCAGTGTTTCGGGGTTTGGTTAGTTAGGGTGTTGGGCTTAGGGACGCATTTTTTGGCAGTTTACGCTTTAGGGCTTCGTTTGGAGTTCAAGGTTAGGGTTTAGGGTCTAGTTACAAGGCCGGCCCTTAAATGCCTCTGAAAAACATCGTAAATAAGATCCTCCTCAACCCAACAAGGGAACTCTGCCTGGCCTACCTAGGGCTTAGGGTTTAGGGGTTTAGGGTGGAGATGTACCCGACGCTCCACGAGACAAGCATTTCGACTAACAAAGGCCACGCCTTCCCAACTCTGGGTCTGGGGTTTACTTGGAGGTTCACGGGTAGTTAGAAGTAGAGTTACAAGCAAGGTAACTGTACTTATAACCCATATTAGGGGACTTATAACCCTACTTATAACCACCCCTGAACATCCAAGTAGGGTTCATTTGTACTACCTTTTCTGGAATTAAGCACCAAGACACCATACTACGGTTGATGATAAAAACACCTGCATTACCTTAAGGACCCGGAACTATGGTATATTCCTTATTATGGGTCATGCAGGATTTCTATCATCAATCGTAGTAGTAGTAGTAGTAGTAGTAGTAGTAGTAGTAGTAGTAGTAGTAGTAGTAGTAGTAGTAGTAGTAGTAGTAGTAGTATATTTGGGCCCTCTGGGCTTGGGTTGAGAGCTCCAGCTAGTTTACGGGCAAGGGGTTTAGGGTAGCGATGGGTAGACACTTCGGGTGATGGCTGCAGACTGCCTAAGTGTTCGGGCTTGAGGTTGGGAGTTGACCTTAACCCCAAATAACCTACCTTTTTAAAGACTTGTATAAGGAAATCATAATAAGGAACCCTAACAAGGTAGGTTCTTTGGGGTCCAGGCAGGGCTTAGGATTTATAGAGTTTAGGGTCTATGCGATTCTGGGCCAATGGGGGATCAGATTTAGTGTATGCGGTGTGGTTGGCCGACTGATATCACTATGCCTATAGAGAAAGTAAGTACCTGACTAGGGAACCTTATATGTCGACACCAGGAGCCTGTATTCTCACTACCCTTCGGCTCCATTGTAGTTCCTTTTTTGGTTCATACCTAGGATCCTAACAGGTAATCCCAAAAATGAACTCTTGCAGACCCAACTATTGCGGCCTTAGCCTGGACCAAACTCTCTGCTCCAAAACTTTAGCCGTAACAGAGGGGCCTTAATACTTAGAATAGGGTCTTGGGGCATATTATACTAGACTTATAGTAAGGAACACCGGCAATAGTATAGGCAATTAAAGAGGCCCCTATAGTAACAGTGAACCCTAAGACCCTAAGCCCGGAAAACCATGGACAACCTCTAGATGTCCTGAGTCTGCAACCACAACTTACCAAGTGAGATAACCCTCATGGTCAGAAAACTCCATGCGCGCCCTTCCCCTCCCCAGAGAAACACACAAAGGCGACACAACCCCTAAAGCCTAGGGCTTTGGGCTTCGTCTTTGGGATCCTACCATGGGGTATAGCAGGTAATCTCATTAACTCCGAAGTTTACGTAAGCTCTAGTCGAATGAGTCGAATTTGGCCAGAAACTTAGTGTCCATGTGGCCATGTTCGGGGCTCATCAGCGCTTGCCTCTCTGTCTCGAAAGCAGAAAGCACAGAATCGAAGAGTCTTGCGGTACTTTAATTATTTAACTTAGAGGTCCTTATGACAAGAGCTCAACTATTCAAGGATAGTTGAGGTCTGCACTACGATCCTGGAGCCCCTCAAATTCCCTAGTGGGGCTTCTTGGCTTTTTATGTGCACGCATCAGTCATCATTCGGGTTCAGGGTTTGGGTTTCGGGATTCAACTCTTGCGCTGTCTTTGCTCAAGGCCGAGAGCCTTCTCACTCATCAGCATCTGCATCGAACTGCACGAACTTGCCGTCCTTGCCCTGCATTGCGGTGAGAGCTCCAAAGTTTGAGCTCACTGGCGCTCTGGTACGACAAGGACAGGCCCACCCCATGCAGGGGTCGGAATACTTCGTTCTACTACACCCGGATAGTCCCCAGGTAACTATACTACACGATACCCAGTTAAGGGCCCTGTATTAAAAAAGCACGTAGGCAAAGGAGTCGTTGAGTCTTGCGGACGAACATGTAGGGCCTAGGGTGACTGGACTTGGGTACTGAGGTATCTTATATGAAAACTGAATGCGGGTTACAGGGGATATCGTGCTCATGATTGTTCACACTCCTCTGCGAGTGTGTCTTTCTTGCTTGCAAAGGTTGATGGGTGGTCGTGGGAACTTGTTATCGAATGGGGTTCAGATCTGCCACCATGATGAACATGGGTCCCAGAACCCACCGCCGGCCCCGCTATAGGATCTGCTGCAGCGACTACCTGGTCTTTGCTAGGTTGGCCCTTTAAAGCCTCTGAAAAATCTTCGTAAATAGGGTCCTAGTAAGCCCAATAAAGGAAAATATCAAATATCCCAAAGGCCTACCTAGTTTGGTAGAACGGCAAGAAATTCCAGCAAGATGGGTGAAATGCCTTACAAGCAGTAGTTTCAGAGCATTGAAAAGGTTTTAACCTAGATCCTGACATGTTCTCAATCCCCCAGCACATCAACCCGCCATGCTGAAACCCAGCGTCTAAAGCTCAAAGCCTACGCCCAAATGCCATGCCCGATAGCTTTTCTGCAAGCTAGGCAGCTAGGCGCTAACCTACCTAGATCTTCAAAAAGGTTCCTCTTATGTGTTACGTCGTTGTCTTAGTATCAGACGGCCAGGGAAACAAGTCATCCAAAGTATCTGAAACACCGATGATTGGATAGTTGCACAAACCACACCGGCAATCCCCGAGGTAGAAATCTTAATCCTACATGCTGCGATGTATCAACGTGGGAATGTTTTGCTTGCATCATTAAGACACTGACACGAGAAATCACACCACTTCAGGGATAGGCTTCCTCAGTATTCCTTCATAAAGGCTTCTCCGTCTACTTTTCATTCGGTGACTCCTAGAACTCCGGAGAGGCACTACTGCGGGACTTAGTTGCGCTCAGAGATTATGGGTCTCGGGTTTCGGAGCTACGATTGCACTCCACTTTTTGCAACACGTATTTGGATGAAAAATTAGATGCCTGGTACAGGGCTCAAAGACTGAAGCCTTAACTCCTATATGTCAATAGCCTCCTTTTCCAAAAACCTACTAACTCGGCGCCAATTACACCGTCAAACCTTGGCCGCAAAAAAGAAGAGAGCACAGAACCCTGTGTGACACCCCACGGAACCTATGTAGACCGCTGAGCAGTTTGGCTTTGGGTTTTGGGAAGTAGCCGCACAGGGTTTAGGGGATTGGAGTTTATTTACTACTATAGGCCTTAACCTTTTGGGCTTAGGCCCAAACTGCCCTAAGTATAAATATACGGGGATACCTACCCAAACCATATAGTATCTCCTGCTCCAGAAACCGTAATTACCCTAATTGCTACGATACAGTTACTTATGACCCTTGGGGAGGTGGGGTTCGGGGCGTATCTGCAAGCCTTTGGAGGCACCGGCACGCGCTCAGCGACAAGCTTGTACTCCTGCGAAGCACTTCTTACTTTTCACGGGGCTACGCATTCAATCATTTTCGGAGCGGAGTTTGCAACATAGCGAATTCTCTAGTATTCCCTTCTTCCTGCTACTTGATTCTCCAGCGTTGTGGGTTGGGGTCAATCTTTCGGACACGTTTCGTGTTGATTTTTCTTCGTCATCTCCGGATCCTGCTCAGGGAGTCCGGAAATCGAATTGGAGTTCAGATGAGTTCTGGTTAGGGATCTTTTTCATCTAGGGCTTCGCGTGAAAGATAAGACTTAGCCCGTGGAGTTGCCCAGTTTGCGCTCGTCGTTTACCACATGCTCGTCATAATCATATCTTGGTGCTGCCCCAATACCGTGACCAGTCTATAATGGGGCTATATACTATTCAGTCCCTAGCGCATCTATACCAGGACCCCAAAAGTATGTAGAATAATAGCCTGTTATGGGTATTGGGCCACTGTTTTTACTTTGAGGGGGTTTAGGTATTACGAAAACTTATCCAACTGTTACTGAGTGGGGGCAATATCCAAATCATATCGATGACACGCTCCGAATCCTCATCCCAAAAGCCGTTTGAAACCTGAAATGTCCCGAAGTGTAAACACCAAGCACGAATCCGAAGCCCTGAACCTAACCTTCGAAGCCTTATAAAACCCGATGGCCTTGAGTCCCTTATTCTGTTCGACCCTTCCACTTACAGAATCTTTGCAGACGCTCTGTTGCCGCTTAAACTCTACACCCCATATAGAAGCCCCAAACTCCAACCCTAAACCCTCTGCAAAACTTCACCGTCACCCTAAACCCTGAAACCCCGTATAATGAGAGCCCTTACAGAATCGTTGTACCGACAGTTCCCTCCTGAACATCCCCTCACCCTTGATGACCCTAAGTCCCGAAACCGAAAGCCCCTACAGAAACCTTCTGAAACCCTTATCGAAGCACTGTATTATATATATATATATATATATATTTGTACATATGTATATACATGTATATCCATCCATGAATTTTGCTGAACCGGATCCCCTTCCAGAGCAAAGATCCGGTCCGAGGTGAAAGGCTGACTGCAGCGCATGTCGGCCAGGTCGCCGGTGAAGTAAGGATCTGGCCTGCGATCGAGGCTTTAGGGTTTAGGGTCTATAGGATTTATGGTAGTTAGGGTCTATAGGGCTTAGGGAAATTAAGGTTTAGGGGTCTATAGGGTTTGGGGATCCGGCCTGCTTTGCTGGGTACAGGCTTGAGGGTGTAGGATCTCATCGGGCACCTTATAAGGACAGTACTGAATATCTCGTAAATCGTAAGCCTGCGAGACCGCAAGGCGCACGTGAGGAAACAACTACCAGTGCATGCTGATGCAGTGATGAAGATGGTTGGCGATGTTGGTGAACATGATCATGAACATGGAGATGTTAGCAGCGATCATGGCGCTGGGTGATGGCGGCCTTCTCTTGCTACGGGTGGTGGTCCATCGATCATCTATCAACAACTTCACTGGCATTGTAATTCTGCTTCAGCCTTAGTTGCAAAAATGTAGCAAGAATAAGGGTGGCGTCAACTAGAGTGACTGGACGTTGGCTACTAGTGGGGTGCATAGTCCGGCTGACATCCGCTGCTGACGGTGTCGGCGACTACCACACGACCAGCAGCAGCAGCACCACCACCACCACCGCCGCCACCACGACCACGACGACTACTAGTACTCCTCCTCCTACTACCGCTGCTGCGACAACAACAACCACGACAACAGAAATAACAACAACAGCTGTTGCTGTTGCTGCTGCTGCTGCTGCTACTACTACTACTACCACTACTACCACGACTACCACTACTACGACTACTACGACTACTACGACTACTACGGCTACTACGACTACTACGACTACTACGACTACTACGACTACGACTACGACTACGACTACGACGACGACGACTACTACTACTGCTACTATTACTACTACTACGACTACTACTACTACTACTACTACTACTACTACTACTACTACTACTACTACTACTACTACTACTACTGACTACTAGCGACGACGACGACTACTACTACTACTACTACTGCTACTACTACTACTACCACCACTACTGCTACTTCTACTCGTACTCCTGCTCCCACATACTCCTACTCCTACTACTGCCTCTGCTACTCCGACTGCCACTGCTACTGCTACTGCTACGGCTGCTACTACCACCACCACCACCACCACCACTACTACTACTACTACTACTACTACTACTACTACTACTACTGCTACTACTACTACTACTGCTACCACTACTACTACTACTACTACTACTACTACTACTACTACTGCTGCTGCTGCTGCTGCTGCTGCTGCTGCTGCTACTGCTGCTGCTACTGCTGCTGCTGCTGCTGCTACTGCTACTGGCACCGCAACTACCACTATCAGATACGACGACAATCCAATACTGACGAACACTCATTTAACATTGAATCGCATAGTGTCAATTCACGCTCTTCGCAGCGTTGCCGAGCGCGACTATGAGTATATGGGGCCTGCACATTATTCCTTGGGCTCTTCATGTACGGTAGAACACACCCCTTCTTTACTATCTGAGAACTCTTGCAAGGGTGCTGCATGGAGTTTTTACAAAGGTTTCTTGAGTTCAGGGACCCAGGGTCCACAATTTCCGGGTTAGGATTTCAGGGATCAGAAGTTTAGGGCTTGACCAGGGCTTGGAGTTTCAGGGCTGGGAGTTTGAGGGCTTTTGGGGGCTTCGCGCTGAGGCCCAAAACCCTAAACCCAAAAACCTAAACCCTTAACCCGAACGAAACCCCAAATCCTAAACCCGGCGTTTTTTCGGAAGCTCAGGGCGGGGCTTCGCGATGGGATCATAGATCGACTGCAGCGGCAAGCCCTTCTCCTTGAGGAAGTCGCGGTCCTCCAGCGGAGCGGTGGCTTGGCTTTATTGCTTTGGCCTACCATGATCTAATTATAGGGTTCCTAGGACTTCTGTATTATGTTCACAACAACAGCTGACGAAACAGTAGGTTATAGTATGTTCTGAGGTAGAGGTTGAGAGTTATGGCTGGGGCATACGGCTTGAGGGTTTAGGGCTGCGGGCTCGAGGTTCAGGTCACATCTCGGCCTCGGGCGCTGGGGCCCCGAACCTTAAGCCACAAAGCAATCGCTTCGGCAGGCTTCAGCGTTACGGATCTGTGATTCTCGTCGGTCTGGTCGGAAGCTGTATGAATGACGGCATTTGAGAGGTTCTGTAAGGTTTTCGTAGAGCTTGCTCTGACCCCCAATCACGGCCGCTCTTCGAGCACGGGGCCTTGCTTTATTATTTTATTTCGGGTACGAAGTTGTGACCAGCTTCCCAAGCACGGTGAGGCTGCAGTGATCCTTGCGTAGATCCCCCATATCAGGCTTGCGTACCCTAGTCCCGGAAATGGCACAAGCACTGCGGGGCAACACACCCTGGTACAAAAAGTTGACTCTTGAGAGAAAGCTCGCAAGTGATAATTCGAAGGGCTGAATGGAGCTATCTGTTCACCGGAGTAGACCACTGTTCAAGCCCGACTAAAGAAAAGTGCGCACACTAACCCTGTAGAAGAGCCTACTTGGAGGTACATTGGTAGTTATAAGTAGGGTAATGAGTCCCCTAATATGGGTTAGAAGTATAGTTACCCTACTTATAACCCTACTTATAAGACCCTAGAGGCAGCCTAAGGTCCTTGTGGACCGACACGCATCACCCTTGACGGCAATCAAACCGAACCCGGAAACCCTTTTAGACCAAAGCCCCAAAGTTCGAAGCCAGCCGTACACTCTAAAGCCTAACTAAATGACCCCAACCCGCCCCAAACCCCACACCCCAGAAACTTGCAGAAAGCATGGCACCTCACTCAGCAGCTCTACAAACCCTGAACCCGTGCCTTGGGACGGTAGAGGCCGTGGACTGGGCCGAACTTTGGCTTCTGCAAAGCAAGAGACAAGGAGTTAGGGACAGGGTCTGAAAAGCTTTGTGGAAGTACCAGGTTTGGGTTTAGGGTTTAGGGGTTTAGGGTCTTGGGTGTTTCGGTACCGTCTTCAACTTAAATTCTTGTACAACCTGACGAAAGCCAGCAGGAACCGTTTTGACACTCCGAATGCATACACTGCATTCGCTTTCCACAACCCTGAGTCCCACTAGCAACATTTAGCCCAAATAAGCCTTCGGTTAAAGAACCCTTGAAGGCATTCAAGAAGTCATGTGCTCTTCGAAGCCTTTACACAACGAACCCGAATTAATGCGAACCCTACCCTCTTTCCTCGAACCGAAGCACTGAGCCCCCCCCCCCCGCCCCCTAGAGACATAGAGGTCCCCAACACCGTAGCGACGGCCTTCGTGCGCTTGAACTCCAAGAGGTGGGTGAGCCTGTAGATTTCATCGTTTAGGTTTAAGGTTCAGGGTTTAAGGTTCAAGATTTGGGGTTTAAGGTTTACGGTTTAGGGGTTAAGGTTTAGGGTTTAAGCTTTACAGTTTAGGTGACAGACTCAGCAAGCCGAAGGCCCAGGACCCATGAACTAGAAGTGCCTTACCAATTGCTTTTGTTCGCCCGGTGCATTTCTCAAGAACCAGAAAAAAACAACTGCTGTAAGGTAGAGCCCAATTGCTTCGTGGACCTAGCAAGTGGCATATGAGGAATGCTGTAAGTGCCTTGACAGGAGTTATCGAACTTCTGAGTTTGCTGCAAAACGTTCAACATAGTGGCTGCTGTCAGAATAGGGTTTGGGAGTGTGTATACATATGTCTGCCTGTGTGTGTATATTTTATAATATCTGTCGTTCAGAGAAAACCAACTGATTGTTCTGACCCCTACCATACGGAGATAAGTGCTGAGAGGGCACTCGGGTGTAGGGCCTGCTTCAGAGTTTCCCTGCGCCTCTTTAGAGGAAGCTAACCCTCCGAGTCCATGTACCCATCTAATATAGTACATTTCTGTGGCCCTGAAGTACCTATGCAGGGACTACTCGCAGGCCAAAGTATATAAGATATGGGCACTTGGATCCTGAGGGTAAGTGTAGGCACATTCACAATTCGACAAGGGCTTTGGAGCAGATTAATTATGGTCGCGGACGTCTCTTGGGGGCTATGATTATGCTATACCCTCAGGGTCCCAGTGCCCAAACAGTCGGGTGCAACCCTTGATTTGGGAAGAACTTGCAGAGTATACTTGTACCGGCAGCCGCGCTCTTCGGGTTGTTTAGTAAGATGTCCACGCCGTCAACCCTACCTAAACCCTAAACCCTTAAACCCTTAAACCCTAAACCCTGAACCCTTAAACCCTTAAACCCCTAAACCCCTAAACCCTTAAACCCCTTAGGCCCTAAACCCTAAACCCTTAAACCCTTAAGCCCTAAACCCTTAAACCCTTAAACCCTTAAGCCCTAAACCCCAAAGCTCCTGCATTTTGCCTACTATGGTTGATGATATAAATCCTGCATGACCCATAATAAGGAATTTACCATAATTCCCGTAGTATAGGGTCCTTAAGGTAATGCAGGATTTTTATCATCAGCCGTATGTTGGGGCTTCGGGCTCGAGGGGTTAGGGATTTCATCAACTTGGCCTCTAAGGATCCCCAGAGAGAAGGCTGCAGGCCTGCAGTCTTTATCTAGACCCATAGGAATGAAGAGGGAGCGTTTGGGGTTTAGGGTTTAGGGTCCAGGGTTTAGGGTATACTATCTAGACCTAAGAGTGACTTAGGAATGGAGAGGGTGCCCCTTTTTCGGTTTAAGGGGGGGATATAAGGGAACCTAAACCCTAAATGAAACAGGGAATAAGGGCCTACTCTGGGTCCTAGTTATGAGCTCGTGTTTACGAGGGTTTCAAAGGTTTAACACAGGGGCCTGAATGCTCAGAATAGGGTTACATCATCGACCCTGTAAGAACATGTAAGAACAATCCCAAGTGGGGTACAGATCCTGAACCCTGACCCACGAACACCTGAAATCGAAACAACGCCCATAAATTTACAGCCACTATAACCGATAGACAACACGTGACAGCTACCCAGGACCGAAACCCCACACCCAAATCCTTGGAGCTAAGTGCTCAACGCTCGAATCCCCACTGTAAACCCGTGCTAATAGGCTCCAAAACCACCATCGTCAAACAACACCCCACAGAATGACCCCTATTAGGAGAATTCACTTGTCAGACCCCTCTGGAACCCTTTCAACAGTCGTCCCACTCTTTGCATCCCTGAGCACCACACGCCCAGGGTTCTCGGTTGAACTTGCCTGTGCCACTGATGGGGAAACCCTCGAACCCATTGCATTGAGGGATCGTTTCTTCAATTCTGCAATTGGGCTGTGTTTAGAGCTTGGAGTTTAGGGCTTAATAAGTTTTTGTTGAGGGCGACTTTTGAAACTTTGCAACACAGGGGTCCGAATACGTAGTAATGGCATCTTTTCGAGGTCTCTGATGTGCACTAACGAGTACCTCAAGCACAAAGGTTGTTGGGGTATACACTGGGTAAGACTTGGGTAGCTCGGCCAGGCTGCAAGGGCTTATGGCAGGTCGTGTCCGTGTTAAGGCAAGATCAGGAACTGTGTTGGTGTTTGGGCTCTGGAACCGTGCTCAGCAGCAAGAGAAACGGCAAACCTCAAAACCGAGGCCCGTAGAAACCCTCAACCCAGAACGGGAAATGAAGCCGAACCGCAGTAGCATCAGAACCCATACCCTTGCCCTCATGATTTGTGCCGAATAAACAAACGCCGACTATTCTACAACTACCACAAACCCTTTACTGCAACAAAAACTGGCAACACTTCTTAACTTATCCACCACCTACCAAACAAGCTCAGCCTCACTAAACCCTAAACACTAATCCCTTAAGCCCCTAAACCCTAAATCGAAAGCTTCGAGCCAAGTCAGCGGCTGACTGGTGGAACACCGTACTTGCGGTACTCCTCATGGATCTCCCACCTAGCCAAGGGCGGTCCGGTAAGCTAAAGGAGTCGTAGGGTTCCTAAGGGTTTTACGAAGGCTTCCTAGGGTTCCTAAGGGGCTTAAGGGCTTTGGGGGCCTATAAGGGTTTAGAGGTTTTAGGGTTTAGGGGTTGGAGGGTCAGGGTTTAGGGGCTTAACAGTTCAGTGATTTAGGGCTTTAGTTACGGTTTAGGACTTAAGGGTTTAAGGGTCAAAGTTACTACAGTATATTATAGGGCTTAAGGGAATGAAGGGTTTAGGTTTCCGTTGTCATCTCGCACCGACGCTTCGACTTCAATTGACAGGGGCTTCAGGGCTCTGGGGTTTACGAGCTGTGGCTTGCTATCCTAGAGGCTCCACATGTAGTACCATTATGGAATTAGGTCCCCAAAGCCATGATATGGATGGTCTTTTGGGACTCAATTCCATAATGGTACTATATATGGAGCCTCTGGGTATGGGAGCTGAAGAATTAGAATGGCCAAGGCGTGGCCAATGCGGGGATAGTATAGTATACTGATTATTCTGGCCTCAATGTTACTTCTGCGAGTTGGCGCTTGGAGTGAAGTAGCTTCCGCACCGTGGTTTGTAACACTTCCAGCCGGGCATGCCACCGGATCCTGCACGCCGTCCAAAGATCGGCTGCTTGGAGTGGGTTGAGTTGAAGTTCTTGGAGCAGCGAGAGGATCTGCTGTTCCCAGCCAAGCTCCGCAATGCAAAGTCGCGTGGTTCATGAGGGATCATCCGATCGTCTTGTTCGTACTAGTGCAATGCACCATTCCTCAAGAGCCGAGCTTGGGAATGGAGGGCTGAGGTTGAGGGCATAGGACTCAGCGGCTTTAGGGGTTAGCTCGGTTCTATGATTTAAGATTTTAGAGATTTGGGCTTGAGGGGTTTTGCGATTCGAAACTTCGAGAAAAGGATTTGGGGTTCGGGGTTTTGGTGCATGTTGGGCTTGGGTTGTTGGGTTCAGAGTTTAGACCTCAGGGTTTAGAGTGACTCCACTGACTGGGCTAGGCGTGCAGTGTGTGATAGGGCGGTTTCATAACTGTACTGGCAATGCTTCATAGGACGATCGGAGCATCCAGTATCCGATAAATTATGCAGGGATTCTTGTATAATCTGTGGAAAGGTATATCGCTTAAACCTGGAGCGTTGCTCCGACCCCTAATAGGCTCCAGTATCCCTCAATAACGTATTTTCCCTATCATGGTTGGCGTATGGAGGTTTGTACGTGTCAGGCCCATGACTCCAACAGCCCCGTCCCCGCAGCAACAGCCCCTGAGTCATCACCGAGCTTTCCTAACCAAATGTGCAGTACTTTGTTAAGTTCCTGTTTTGGGTGCGTTTCTGCAAAAAAGGGCCCTTAACAATTAGAACTGGGTTTTGGGGCCCATTATGCTATCTAAGCAGCCACCAAAATAGTACCTCGATGGTATTTGGGTACATGTTATGGTACCCTTAAAGGAACCTGTTTGAATACATGGACCCTTAGGCTAATGTAGGGGCCTCAATACCTACCATCGATTTTTTGGGGTGGGGATATATGTATATATATATATATATATATATATATCATAACTTTGACAAGGGACCCCGAAACTCCCTCAACATAGTATAGGCTACAGTATAGGTAAGTGTTAAATTGCCCACAGCACATACGAGAACGAGGAGCCTGCTTGCCCTCGGGGCTGAATGACTCCTTTGGGTGTTCCTTTTACGGATTCCTTTAAGTTATTAAGGGTACGATAAGGGGGTTCCATAGGGTTTAGGGTTTGAGGATCATGAGAATATTCTGTGGAACAAGTGTACCTATATAGGGCGTACTTTACGGCCAAAGCATACACTATTTGGATACATGGACCCGAAACCCTAAACCCTAAACCCCTAAACCCGAAACCTTGGACCCGTTCATGACCCTTAGGGTAATGTGATCCGGTCCGGCCCCCTCGGTCCCGCCCTTCCGGGCCTCGCTGGGTTGGCCTTGACCTTGTAGATCACCTTCTGGGCCTCTCCGATCGATTTAGGGGTTCTTTTAAGGGCTCCTAGAAGGGATCTTGATGGGTTTAGGATTTAGGCTTTGAGGATTCGGGTTGGGTGTGTTGTTTTGACCTATCCTGGCGGGTTAGGTTTAGGGCTCGAGGCTCAGGGTTACCAATACTTTTTGGGCTCAGCGTGAAGCTTAGGGATAACATTCAGGGTTCTGTGTTGTTTGGCTTTCTTGGCTCAAGGAATATGTAACTGCAAGTCAGGTAATTATCGAGACCACAGCGATCACAAACCCATCATCCGGAAACTCCCATATGGGCACATGGACCCTTAGGGTCGGGGAGAGGAGGCCAGCAAATGGGAGGCAGCCGTAAACCCTAAACCATACACCCTGAAAGGAACCCTTAAAGGATCCCTTATGGAACCCGTAATGTCCCTTTAAGGGTTGCTTTAAGGCTTAAAGGAACCCTGAACGGAACCTTCAAGGAACCCTACACCACAAGAATATAGGAACCTCCATAAAGTTGGAAACCGGATTAAGGCCAAAGAGTGCTGGGATTCCCTGTACATTACTCTTAAGGATTGAGGCTATTGGGTTTCCAACTTTGGGGCTTCTACTGTGTCAGGGTTTGAGGTTGAGGTTTCGGGCTTCACAAACCTTGGCCGTCAGAGGGTTTTGCTAATGAGCTGGGGTTTTCCCATTCAGTGAGATCGATCTCAGGGGTTCAGAAAGATATGCGACAGACTTAAGTGACGATCTTGAACTCGCGAAACCACATATGCGCCGATATTCAAAAATCCCGAAACACATAATAACACTCGACTACCCTAAATGTCCGAGACCCGAAAAACTCCGCTAAGGTTTCTTTTTCGGGTGACTTTGCGGCACGCCTGGAGCATCTGCAGAGCGTCAATAATGAAGCGCTTGGTCTCAGCGTTTTCGGAAGTTGGGCAAGATTGGCGAAGCTTTGGGGGGGTTTGGTATAAGGCATGTGCTCCTACTCCCCGTGATTGCGCAGATGAGCTGGGAGTATGCTACTACGGTGCAAAATCCATCGATGAAGACAGAGGTTCACACACACCCGGTAAACCCTAAATCCTATGTTTAGGATTACCCTGGCCCCCAGAGTATCCCAAGCCACAAAACATGGGAAGACCCTTAAGGAATCCTGCTTTGGGCCGGCACTTTCATCTGTCTGCCGGTGAGACCAATCTCCTTCATGAGGTCCACGGTCTTAATGGGCCTGGGCGAATGCTGCAGGCCCCAGACCTTCCAAAATCCCTTAATTATCTTAATTAAGGAATATACCTTAAATCATATTATGGACCCTGTTATAATTTAAGGTATATTCCTTAATTAAAGGATTTTGGAAGGTCTGGGGCTTACGTAGTGTTGAGGTGTGCAGGGGCTTTCGGGGTTCAGGGGTTTAGGGTATCGGCTTAGAGTTTAGCGTTTGGGACCGCCACCCCACAAGAAAGACACACTTAGGGGGGCCAACCCCTGATGGAGATTTATGAAGCCAGGGGGTCGATCCAGCTGCATTAAATGGGAGTTTCCGAAACTAGGGGACCCAGATATAGTACCCTAGATAGGAGGATTATTTTAGGGACCCCCAAAATAAGATACCCTAATTTGCGGAAACTCCCACATCATTATCTCACCTGGAATGGGCCACAGAAACTAAAGGCAGCGAGATCCCCGCTGAGCCCACAGCATCACCCGGAAATGCGCCCCCAGAGATCCATGCAACACTTGCGGTGTAGATTTTCGGGGTCTTGGGTTTTGAGCTTAGTAAGTTGCAGACGCGGACGCCGGGATCTTCAACACGGAACATGATGGAAAGGTCAATAGTATAATAACAGTGTCTGCCTTCAAAACCATACCCAAATCTCACAGACCACATGATAGATTCGCTGTCGCTGCAAAGGCACTTTCCGGTTTTCCAACTCCGGATCATTTCATAGGCCCACACCCTAAACCCCTAAGCCCCAAACCTTAAACCCTAAACCCTAAACCCTAAGCCCCAAACACTTGGGCAGGAGCCCACCGGGAGAACGGACGGGTGACGGTGCAACTACTGTAGGGGCCGACAATTAGCATAGGATGTTAGCCCTAAACTATCCTTATGGCTCCAGGGACCTTATTACGGGGTCCTTAGGGGGTCTAGGGCCCTAACTATGAGGTCCTTGGAGGGATAGGGTATAGACTATAACTAGAATAAGGAAACCCCAAACTAGTATAGGTAGTTATATTATATATTCAGCTATTACTGAGTGGGGGCCGTACCAATACCCTTATTATAGATCCCTAATTCTTCTGCTCAGGGTGTCAGCAACCTCGTTGCTGAGGATGGCACGCATCTCGGAAGTGCTCCTGCAGCTTAGTGCTGTAAGGCAAGTCGCCAATTGTCTTAGGTTTACGAACAATCAAGTTTCGGCTCAAGCATCCTATATTCTACATAAGACAGGAGCCTCAGTCATGAACAAAGGATTTCTGTGGGCACGACGGTACAACCTCCATATTGCAGACAGGGTTTTGATGTTTGGTGTCAGGGGCAAATCCTGCACAGGGATATGCAAGGGACGGCAATGGCATCATGGTGTCCAGGGAAACAAGATTGGAATCTTGTAATCGCGGCAGTCATTAATCAAACACCAGCCCTAGACCCTGAACCTGGCAAAACTTGAAACCCCAAACAATCCTTATGCAGCCATCTAGAGCCGTCATAAAGTGCGGACTCTCAGCGAGACACCGGCCTCCATGTTCTTGAGGAGAACTGTGGTGATGCGCTTCATGATATCCTGCACTTCAGGCGTCTTAGAGCAATGTATGTCGTGATAACGGGGCCGGGGTTAAGGCTTAAGGGTTTGAGATTATGATGTTTGATTCCTAGCTACTCTTGTAATACCCTGGCCCTAGAATACACACTTTTCGTGGGTTCATGTACAATCTAAATTTATCTAAATACGAGCCCAAGATACAGTACGATCCAACGTACGATCTCAAATTACGGTTCGTGGTACGTTCCGGCCGCAGGTGTCATCCAAAGTGCGATCGCAAAGTACGGATTCTGGCACGGTAATGACTGTTCATATGCGCATAACCACATGGTCGCGGAACCTAGGGCGCAACAAGGGAACACGTTTCGGAGCGGTCGTCTCGATACAAGTAGATCATCAGGGGAGAGGGCCTAAATCCAAAACCATAAATACCCCTAAACCCTACACCCTGAAACCTTCCAGATCCCTTAAAGAACCCTTGAAGGAACATTAAAGGAAACCGATATCCGCGCGACACAGAAAACCGTCACCCAAAACCCTGAAGTCTAAACCCCAAACCTCTATTTTACGCCCTGAGGCCATAAACCCGAAATCTTAAACCGTTTTGGTATTGGGTAACTTTACAAGGAACCTAGGACTACAAAAAGGGAATAAGGGTACTACTGGCATCCGAGTTCAAGGAGCGCTTGAAGGAACCCGAAATCCTAAACCCCAAAACCCTAAACCCCTAAACCCTAACCCCTAAACCCTAAACCCCTAGACCCCTTAATTAACCCCTTGACCCCAAAAACCCTCTCCGGCCTCCAAGCTCAAGCGGCTGTTTGGCATTCGCCTCAGAGGCTCTGAGTTTTGGGATTCGGTTCGAGGGCTTCGGTTCTTCTTAGGCTTCCGTCAAGGGTTGCTTTATATAAGGGTTCCATAAGGGATCCATATTTTAAGGGTTCTGAAATGGATCTATAAGGGGTGAGGGATTAGGGTTTAGGGGCTTAGGGTTCCTTTAAGGGTTCCATTTTAAACATTTTAGGTTTCCATGAGGTTTGAGTATGAGGTTTAGGGTGTTTTGGGGGTTCGGAGTCTAGGCTCTAGGGTTTAGGGTTCAGGCTAGAAGGCTCAGGGTTAAAATCATTGCATACTTCCCCAGGGATCTAAGGACTCGCATGGGTCGTTGTCAAAATTGGGGTACCTTTTTGGGCTCCTTTTTTTAATACGGCACCTCGTGCTCAGGGTACCCAAAAAGGGACCGTAATTTTGACAACCACCCAGATATTAAGGCTTTTGGGACCAAGGACCATACTACTGCTGATGGACAAAATCCTGCATGACCCTAAAAGGACTCTAAACTGTGGGAACTTTGGTATATTCCTTCTAAAGGGTAATGCAGGATTTTGCCCATCAGCAGTATGTAAGGCTTTTGGGCTATTCTGATCCTTAGGACTTGGGTTTCGTATGTATGGAACGTTTAGGGCCAAGGTCCCCAAGAGCCGAACATCTGATAAACGAGGACGGTTAAGGTTTAGGGTTTATATAGGGTTTAGGGGTGTGGGGGTTCAGGGTTTCTTTGTTTTTGAGATGGGTTAGGGTTTAGGGTCGAAGATCATGGGGATCTAATGGTTAACCGTTGAAACTATATAGGGACTGTAACGCCCCAAAAAGGTTAAAAGGTGACCCAAAACCCAGCACCCTAAATCTTAAACCCGAGCTTGAGCTACCAGTAGGGCTCAGCCAAGCGACTTGTAGAGCTTTTTCTTGTAGCCCTCGCAGATTCGGAGGCTTTGTGCTTAGGGTCTAGGGCCTTAGAGTCTAGAGTTTAGGGTCTAGGGGTTAGGGGTTTAGGGTTCAGAGTTCAGGTTTGGAGTCAAAAGCTAAGGGCCTTTGGGTTTAGGGCTTTGCTTAGGGGCCAGAGAGTTTAGGATTAAGGGTTCTACAAGGAATCTATACAAGGGTTTAGGGGTCAAGGGGGTTTAAGGCTTTTAGGGCTTAGGTTTTTTTTTTTTATGTTTAGGGTTCAGTTGAGAGTTCAGGGTAATTATGGCATGGGCTCGGGGATGACGGAACAGTAGTGAAGCCTGCCCTTCTGAACGATGATGATGCTGATGGTCGTGGTGATGATGGGGATGATGACCCTAAACCCTAAACCCCTAAACCCTAAACCCCTAAACCTCAAACCCTAAACCCCTAAACCCTAAACGCCCAAACCCTAAACCATTAAACCTCAAACCCTAAACCTGAAACCCTAAACCCCCAAACCCTAAACCACTAAACCTCAAACCCTAAACCCCTAAACCTCAAACCCTATACCCCTAAACCCCTAAACCTCAAATCCTAAACCCTAAGCCCGTAAACCCAAACCCTAAACTAAACCCTACACCCCTAAAAACCTCAAACCCTAAACCCCTAAACCCCGTCGGGTGCAAGCAGCGGGCTCCCGGCCTTTGGGTGCTGCTTCTGCAAGGTGTCATATGGCACAGGTCCTGTCATACGTAGGCGGGGCTTTTTTGTTTAACAAAAATTTAGATTGTAGGACCCTAACCATGAAATTGGTAGAACAAAGGAACTACGGTTGATGATATATATCCTGCATTACCTTAAGGACCTAAACTATGGGAATTATGGTAGATGCCTTATTGGGTAATGCAGGATTTATATCACAAACCCTAGGTAGGGCTTTGGATTTGTTTGCATCTTTACAGAAACCCCAGCCCCGAAAAAAGTTAGCCTTTACAAATATGGTAGGGCTATATAAGCCCCAAAAGGTTCAAGGTTACCCACTCTGTTACTACGTAGGGCTTACTCAGTCCCCTAAATTAGGGTTCGGGTTCAAAAGTGTGCAAGTATGATACTCCAGAACCCAGTATATAAGTACTACAAAGGGCCCTAATATCACAGCCGAACCAGAGAGTAATATGGGGCCTTAGTAATTAGAATAGGGTTTTGGGGCCCATTATACTATACTTATAATAAGGAGCCCCCAACATGGTATAGGTAATTATTCAGGCCCCTACAGTAACCAGGATGGGTCCTGATGCTTGCCTCTCGATGCATGGAGACCTGGCCGTCTTTGGGTTTAAGGTTCCGAACATGCTCCACAAGGATTGCGATGAAGGTTTCTATGATCTAGGGGTCTGAAACATAGAATACGGTTTGGCGGCATGTTTTCAGTCTTCTTCGGGACTAGACGGGATAATCCTACCATTGATTCAGACCTTTTGGTAGCTCAAGGATTGACGGTGCTAGAAGCGTTCGACAAGGCTGAGGAGTTCGGATTCAGGGCTTGGATTAAGCGGTTTAGAGTTTAGGGTTTAGGGTTTAGGGACTAGGGTCAGGGTGTGGCTTTAAATTTACTTAAGGAGGATTGAGGATTGCGGCTTGGGTTGAGGGGTTGGCGTCTAGGACTAAGAGCTTATAGGGTCAGGGTACGGGATTAGCGCTCAAGACGAAGAGTTTAGGGTCAGGGTTTAGGATTATGTGGGCGGTTGTCAAAGTTAGGGTCCCTTTTTGGGTCCGTATTATAGTACGGCACCTAATATGTAGGGTTCCCAAAAAGGGACCTTAATTCGACAACCACCCATGTGAAGGTTTATAGGCTTAAGCTTCGAAGGGTTCCGGATTGAAGGCCTACTTAAAGGCTCCTGAGACTTAGTATGTAAGGTTATAAGTAGGTTATAATTAGGATGACCCCACTTAGGGGACTTATAACCCCATTTATAACCTCCCATGCTCCTTCAAGCAGGGTGGGGTTCAGGGATTTCAGTTCGCGCTGCATGGATTCAGGGCCTACCCTAAGGCCCCAAAGTAGTTCCTTTTTGGGGTTCATATTTAGAATCCTAAAATGTCATCCCAAAAAAGAACTACTTTGGGGCCTAGGGCCTATGGGTAGTATCAAGGGTTCAGATTCCAGATATTTGTGACGTTGAACCTGCTACCTCTGAGTTTCAGGGTTGTGTCATTTTTCAAGGGGGACAACGGGGGTTTTGGGGTTTCCGGTCTACGGGCGTCATTTAAATTGAAGCAGCCAGCGCTGACAGAGCGCTTGCAAGAAACAGCGGAGGGGGGGGGGGGCTGAATAAATAGACCAGCTTCTTTTTGAGGGCGGGGGGGGGCCTTCATATTCCAACAGCCTCAATTCGGGACCTCCGGAATACTTTCTACTACTACTACTACTACTACTACTACTACTACTACTACTACTACTACTACTACTACTACTACTACTACTACTACTACTACTACTACTACTACTACTACTACTACTACTACTACTACTACTACTACTACTACTACTACTACTACTACTACTACTACTACTACTACTACTACTACTACTACTACTACTACTGCTACTACTACTACTACTACTACTACTACTGCTCCTCCTGCTGCTGCTGCTGCTGCTACAAATCTATAACTTCTTGATATCAGCTTCACAGAGTCGTTTTAACAACAACTCGACTTCCAGACCTCAAATTCCAGACCTCAAAAATATCCCCGGCCAGCGCAAATCAACCCCGAACACCGCAGCCCGTAAACTGAAACTCCACAACCGCCCTAGAGGCTCCAAAACACCAACACTAGGGAACGTAGCCCAACAACGACATGACATGAAGACCCCAGGAAAACGTGAACAACCCCCAGACAATGTTAAGATTGCTTGTCGCAGTACATCCTAAAGCAAAAATCCCTGAACACGCACCTTACATGAAGCCGTGAACTATATAGCTATACCACCTTAACTTAACCCATCAAACCGCTCATGATGAGCTTCTTTGCCCAGAGCCTTGGTGCTGGAGCGATGAGCCCGCTCACGAAACTGAGAAAGGATGGGATTTGGATGCTATAGCCAGAGGCCCCATGGTAGTTCCCTTTGGGGATTACCTTATAGGATTCTATATATGAACTCCCAAAAGGAACTACTTTGGGGCCTTGGGTAGCCAGTTGTTAAAAGGGGATTTGTCTCTTGAGAACTTGAGGGAGCGGGCTTTCGGGTCTTATTTGAGGGGGGAGGTTAGGCTGAGGTATTTAGAATTTCGGGGTTTAGGGTTGAGGGTTCAGAGGTCTAGGTTTTAGGGATTTAGAGTCTGGCTGCTAGGGCCCTACACTTCAATCAATTTGCGAACCCTGGACCCCCGACTAACAGAACCAAAGCCCGAACCTCTGGCTTTGGGTAATTACATGAGACAACTTAGAAGTTTCACCATTCATGCATATATACTTACACAGTATGAACTTATGAGAAGGCAAGCATTGAGGCAGAGCTTTTCCCACCTGTCCCCGCACCCTGCCTCTCATTTAGGGGTCCTCACAATAATAAGGATCCTACTACTTGGGGTACTATAATATTGGGATCCCCTATTTTCGGAAACTCCCATATGAGGGTGATGCTGTCTGTCAGCGCGCTGACACAGCCTTGAGCTTCAGCGAAGTCATCAGGAGCTAGTATGGGCTTGCATGGGTTAACATCCCTTAGGCTCTAAGGACTCATATTTTAAGGCTTTTGGGCCCAAAGACCTTACTAGGAGGGTCGGGGGACTTAGTAACTGGTTATTTTAGGGACTTATAAGTACCATAGCCCCAATTAGGGTCCCTTTTAGGGTACTTATAAGTCTACTTACTAACTACTTACTAAGTCCCCCGACCCCCCAAGTACTATATAAAGCTTTTGGGCTTTTTCGGGCCTTAGGGAATTCATCGGATGTAGAGTTAACTGCAGTTCGTAGAAAGAGGATGACAATTGGGTACGGCCCCCATACAGTAACAGTCTATAATAGGGCTACTATTAAGGGCCTTATATATCTATATTATGAATATTATCCAACTGTTACTGAGTGGGGGCCGTACCCAAGATAACGACAGAAACGCCTTACATCGGTAGCAGCATCGCCGATTCAAGAACTCTCAGCCCAACCCTACACTCCAGACCTGAAGCCCTTCAAATTACGTAGTCTTCTTACACCCCAACCCCTAGGGATCAAAATTGCCCAAAAGCCTTATATAGTATGGTCCTTGGGCCCAGAAGCCTTAGTATATGGGAGTTTCCGAATATAAGGGACCCAAATAGAGTACCCTAAATGGTAGGATCCATATTATAAGGACCCCAAAATAAGGTACCCCTAATTTTCGGAAACTCTAAACCCTTATAGAGCCCTTTAAAGGAACACTTATAGCCCTTTTGGCACCCTTATAGCACCCTTTAAAGTCTAAGGTACCCCTAATTTTCCGAAACTCCAAAGCCTTAGCATATGAGCCCTTAGATCCCCTAGGGAACCGGAATCAGCCTCACGGCCGGGGCTGCCAGCGTTGCCACCACGACGGCTGCCGCCACCTTACAGACATTGGCTCAGGTTTTGGAGTTTAGGGCTTAGGGGTTTAGGGTTTAGGGTTTAGGGCTTAGGGTTTAGGGTTTAGGGCTTAGGGTTTAGGGTTTAGGGCTTTGGGTTTAGGGCTTAAGGTTTAGGGTTTAGGGTTTAGGGCTTAGGGTTTAGGGCTTAGGGTTTAGGGTTTAGGGTTTAGGGCGTTCAGGATCTGAAAAACGGGTTGCTTCATGGTAATTATCCCTAAGGGTCCATCTGCTCAGAGAGTATGTACATTGGCCTTACAAGTACTGTACTCCCTGTATAGGTACATTGGGCCCAAAGTATATACTATTTGGGCACATGGACCCTTAGGGTATGGCTGGTCTAAGCGTGGTTCTTCTGTGGCCGACTTTTGTGAGCGTACTTACTGGCATGAGTGGGCGCAAAGGGTAAACCCTCAACCCTATGCCCCAAAAGCAAAATCCTTAATCCGAAGCTCAATACTTCAAACTGTAAACCAGGAAACGCTTAAACCCAAGAATTCCAAACCCTCAACCCTAGCCCTGCATCCTAGACCTTTTTCTTGGTCACTCAAGGATCCAGATTCCCCTAAGGCCGCCAGCACAGAAGAATCATATCCCCGCAAAATACGACCATGCACTGACGGTTTAGGGTTCAGGGTGCTGCTATCCTGAAAACCAATACCGGCCCTTAAAACCCTAAAACGTCAAACCCGCGCTGGTTAGTGGCCTTGTCCACATAATTGTCGGGTAATGTAGGGGCCTTAAAAATTAGAACAGGGTTTTAGGGTGTTCCTTACACGTATAAGATACCCCCCAAACCCTATTCTAATTACTAAGGCCCTTACAGTACAGTACCCTTATAGATCCCATTATAGGATCCCTTTAGAGGGAACCCTAAAATTCTACTCTACTTACTAAGGCCCCTACAGTACCCTTCAGCCCTTTGACTCTGGAAGCCTCACCCGGGAAGTCTTGAGGCCATAAACCCTAAACCCCTACATCCTAAACTCCAGGCCCTTTCCCTACGGGTAGGGTTTAGGGGTTTAGGGTTTAGGGTTTATTAGAGCGTTCAGGATCTTAAACCCGTTGATTCATGGTAATTATCCCTCAGGGTCCATGTGCTCAGAGAGTATATACTCTGGCCTTAAAGTACTCCCTGTATAGGTACATTGGGCCCAAAGTATATACTATTTGGGCACATGGACCCTTAGGGTTTATTCATAAGCAACACCCCTTGAGGACTTTGTGCGCAGGCGATGAGCGAGCAATTAACACTCCAAGTGGGGCTGTCCTATTTGTATCTCTATTTGGAACCTCTTGCAGGTGAGAAAACCCATGACCTACGACGGTTTGGCAGTAAGCTTGTTTGTCTTACAGAGTTTGGTCAGGGAATTCATGTAGGGTCGGCGCCTTGGCGAAAGCGAACACCAACGCCGCAACTTTGGTGTGGTCTTCAGGCGACAACTGGATCTGGCCCTGTGTTGTCTCAGCCACGACTGTAGCCGAGACGAACATCTCCTGAACAGTCCTCACAGCTCCAAACCAGAACTCGGCAGACTCAGCCAACTCCACCGTGGAAGGAACTTCCAAGCAATCCAGGTCCAGGTCGCCAAGGCATGCACTATACGTCGATGCCTGTCAAAGACTAAAACCGGCCACCAACAAGAGTATCGGAAGTCTTACTACGTAAAGATATCAATCGCCCTAAAGCCAGGCGGCCGCTTTCAAGCTCAACTACCCAGCGAACCCAATACCCGTTAATTAAGGAATACCTTAAATAATAGGGGGCTTAATATTATGAACTTAATTCAGGGGTATTGGGATCTCTAAGTTCAATGACACACCCTAAGCGTCCATAATCGGGTTCCTTTAAGGGCTCCGTTAAGGAATCTATAGGGCTTATAGGCTTTGTAGGTCCATGTACCCAAATAGTATATCCTTTGGCCCCAAAGTGTGGGGACTACTTTAAGGCCAATGTAGATACTATTTGGGTACATTGGACCCTCAGGGACATCTACCCTTCTGTCCTGGTCTGAAATCGACAACTTTACACCTGCCTGAACCACTGGCCTGCTATGAAAATGAATGCCAATGAATGGGTTTAGGTTTCTGCCTAAAGAAGTAGCCTAAAGTTTTGGGGGGGTGCAGAGCCATGTTGCTAGTTAGAACCAGGAGAACACATTAAGCATCACTTCTACCGGGCTCCACGTCACAAATCTATGTGTAAGGCTCCCACTAGACGGTGCCCCCGTCGTGCGGATGATGACCTCGGCAGGGCATGGGGTTTGGAGGTGGTTGAGCTGTGACACGGTAGACTTTAACTGAGCTTTCAGGGTACCATACGAGTTCTATTAGGGTTCTATAGAGTCTAGGGTTTGAGGGTCCAGGTACTCCCGTTTATAGGACTATAGGGCCTTTTTAGGCACCAAAGTCCATAAACAAGGACTCCTTGGACCCTTGGAGGGCAAGCTTTAGGAACCCTTGTCGGGTAAGCTTTAGGCTTAGGCTTCAGGGGAAGAAGGTGCGGAGCTCTTCTTGCAGTGTTCATGAAAGATTGTGTCTCAGTAGCTTGGCCATGGTGAACTCTCTGCATTCGCGTGGCACTCGCTGAGTCTTAGGAGTCGCAGGGCCCCCGAACTAAAACCCCCCAGCCCGGCTTAGGGTTTAGGGTGTAAGACTCAGGGTTTAGGGTTTTGGGGTTTAGGGTTTAAGGTTCAGGGTTTTGGGGTCTAAGGTTTAGGGTTTAGGGACTCCACCGTAGCTGCTGCAGCATGAGTAGTGAGAATGAAAGACCACAATACCAACTTATCCCATGACTGAAACGTCGCAGAGACAAACAAAATAGTCCCCCTCAGTCTCCAAAAACATGATCCATCAATCACTGCGCAATGTAAACCCAGAAACTGCGCAGAAGCTTCTCTCCGGGGGCCTTACCGGAGGGTCCATGTATATTACCATGTTGGAATTAGGTCCCAACAGACCAGCCCCATGATCCCCAGACCTTCCCACATCACACAATTACGGAATACATCTTAAATCATACTTAATAGGAATCCAAATAGAATTTATGGTATCTTGCTTAATTAAAGGATTTTGGCAGGTCTGGATCCTTTAATCACAAGCCGCTGCACTTACAAAGCGCTTGTAAGCCCCCTTATGCACGCCCCTATGACAAAAACGTCGCAACAAATTGTGCCAAGATGTTTTGAACAATGCCAACAAACCTTGGGACACCCATAAAACACAACACAGAAAACTTAAACACTCTCTATAGGAATGCGGCTCTCGCAATTTACACATCCGTGCGAAGCATACTAAACCCAAGCGAAAGTCTTAGACACAAACATCAAGAAAGCCTCATCCCTGATTCCAACACCCCACCCCCCCCTCCCTAAACCCTAAACCCAAAACCCAAGACCTAAACCCTAAACCACAAACCCTAAGGCGCAAAACAACAACAAACCAAGCCGAACCCTAGAAAAAAAGAAGCAGCTAGGATACCCAGTAACCTAAGAATAAAAAGGCCTCTCTTTTTGGTATTGGGTAACTTTATAAGGAACCTAGGACTACAAAAAGGGAATAAGGGTACTACTGGGCATCCTAAGCAGAGTCCCAGCCTGGTCCCGACCATGGCTCCACGGGATTCGAAAGCCCGCCAAAGGAGGATCCGATGAGCCAAGCTTTCGGAGGTTGCCACTTTGGGGCTTTAGGGTTTAGGGGTTTAGTGATCTTTTAAAGGACCCCTAGCCCTTAAAGATTTAGTGTGCTTAGTGTTTAAGGTTAGGGGTTTAGGGTTTTTAGGGTCTAGGCTTTAAGGTTTAGGTCTCACCTACAACTGCCATAACTCACGTTTTTTGTAGGTTCTGAATATCATCCCAAATATGAAGTTTATAGGGGCCCTACAAGAAGTAGGTGGGCTGTACATAAAGCTTCTTGTAGTTCCTTCTCTGGTCTAAGCCATTTGAAATTTCGGATCCTGCAATTAGGTAGGTAACCCCAAGAAGGAACAGCAATGGAGGCTATGGGTAGGTCTCAGGGGTCCAGGGTTTCGCTTTGCTTCAGGGTGTGGGTGGACGGGCCTTCGGGAGAAGAACTTATGAAGGTCTAGAGTTTACAGGTTTGGGGGTGTAGGGTCTGGGTTTCGAGGTTTCGGGTTTATAAGGGTTTGAGAAAGGTTTAAAAGGGGCATTTTTACAGGGGTCTTAGGGCCTAGTATTTTAGGGACCCCCAAAAGCACCTAAGCATAAGCATCTTACCGGGATATCCCTACCATATTGGGCTTGTTATAGTAAACCCCATAAAGTTGGAAACCGGATTAAGGCCAAATAGTGCTTGGATCCCCTACACATTACGTACTCTTAAGGGTTGAGGCTATTGGGTTTCCAACTTTCGGGCGTCTACCCTAAACCCTAAACCCTAAACCTAAACCCTAACCCTAAACCCCAACCCTAAACCCTAAACCTAATTCTTGCTTATGTGCTTCTTTGGGGCCCTTGTCTTGGAGGCTTAGGATTTCAGAGTGGGGGTCTTGGGGTTTGGGGTCCTGAGTTGAGGCTGGAAAACACTGAAGCTCCTGAAGAGCTCACGGAGGGGCCTCAATAGTTGGAATAGGGTTTTTCGGTTTAGGGTTTAGGGTTTAGGGTTTAGGGGTTACTACTATAGATAGGAAAAGGACCCCCATACAGTAAGAGTCTATGATAGGGCTACTATTAAGGGCCTTATATATCTATATTATGAATATTATCCAACTGTTACTGAGTGGGGGCCGTACCCAAACTATAGATATGATAAGGACCCCCCCCAAAAAATAGTAGGGGTAGGGATTAAGGCCCCTATATTAACTTTCATGTAGAGTTTAGAGCTTGGGCTGTATACAGGCAGCGTTGTGGGGCGGGTGTTTTCCGTCTTCGGGGTTTGGGTTTACGGTGTGGGTTTTGGCGCTTTGCATTTTGGGTTCTGGATTGCTTGAAACATCAGGGGGCTTAGCAAGGAGGTCAATGCTAGACTTCCAAGCAAGACAAATCTTCTTCCGCCACTTAAACCCGAAGCTTACATCGTAACGACCCTAAGGCCCCAAAGTAGGTCCTTTTTGGGCTTCATATTTAGAATCCTGAAATGTAATCCCAAACAAGAACTACTTTGGGGCCTATGGGTACATTGCAATTAGCATGATCCTACCCATGCTAGGCCTCTTGCCGGTGTTTGTTTTTGGGTTCGGTTGTTGGGCTTCCCGAACTTCAAGTGGTCAAAGTGGTCTGAGTGGTCCGTAGGGCTTAGGGTTGACGACTTAATTAGGGTGGCCTAGGTTTGATGGGAAGGATTCGGAAGGTGAGGTACGGGCCAAACCACTTCCTTCAAGGGTCTATGCTGAGTTTGCCAGACATGACCACTACGTGCCCTAGACGTATAGCCTGGGCCTAAACCGTAAACTCTGCTTGCATAGATACTTCCCATCAGGTGTCCTGGCTTTAGCGGACGACCAATTTTGCTGGTGCCTGAGAATTTTTCCGGAGGAAGATGGGCGCCACTAGCCTGTTTCCGAGTTTACTTGGACCCTAGACAGCCCACGTTCCTTTGTACATGACCCACAAAAGTCACAAAAGGATAGGCCACAACCCCCGAGAAAACGTCTCTGTAGGGTCTATACTATACTATGATATGCTGTTACTAGTAAACAGGTTGGTTCAGCGTCCCCATCCTCCTGCGGATCGGTCTTTGATGCTGAGCTGCAAATACGGTGCGAGCAGATCCTTCCCAAGCCGACACAGTGCAGTGTTACATGGCAGTTCTCTAAATCAAGGTCCCTTCTTATAAGGGTGCAGCCTTCTGTTGGGCTCCGAAAAAGCACCCTCACTTAGACAACTACCCACATCAAGACCGAGCCTTCAACGGAACTCGGCCGGAGTAGTTTAGGACAAGTTCAATCAAGAAGTCCAAGAAGGCTTTTGAGTCTGTTCAAGCCTGCACGTTTCCAGTTTTGGGGTTTGGGGTTTAGGCTTCCTGGTTTCTGTGCTTCGGTTTCGGCTGAGACTTGTGACACAGTGGAAGGACACTGCGCATCACGGGTTCGACGAGCGTCTATCATGTCCGAAGAAGTGGGATGCCTTGCACTCAAAGTATGGTATCTTTGACCTCGATGACCTCAAGCCCTAATGTTTTGTTACTTGAACTATACATGATAGTAAAGTAAAAGCCAGAAAGTTGGAATATGATAATCCTAAACCCTTTATGGTAGATTATAGGGTATCCTACCCTGAAACCATATTCCAACTTTCTGGAGTTCCCTTTAGAGGTTCGTAAATTGGAATACTCTGGGAGGGCTGAAATCTCAGCCTCAGGAGCTTCAGCTTTTTTAGGCCTCGTGTCTGAGGCGTTTAAACGGATTATTATGGCGGGGGTCATCCAGGATTGTTGTGGCCGTGCGGGGTTACCCAGAGAACCCAATATCCCTTAACTAAGGAATATACCTTAAATTATAGAGGCTTTCATATTATGATTTAAGGTATATTCCTTAATTAAGGGGTATTGGGATCTCTGGGTACTTTAAACCCTAAACTCTTTTTAGTTTCCAGGGGCTCCGGAAGCACAGGTGTGGGCGTGGACTTTTGGGACGAGGGTTTGATGTCGATACCCCTCTATTTTTGTTGTTTTTTTGGGCCTCTTTTCCGAGAGGAGTTTAGGGATTAGGATTCAGGGCTGGCCCATGCTGGAATACAGATGCAGTTCCTGCATCTGTTGTCGTCACATCGGCAAACCGCTATGACGGAGTGGCCCGGGGCAAACGTGACGACAAACCTGTTAACGAAGTACTGGGCAATTAGTGGTCCTGAACCCTCATCCCTGAAAAACCGAAAAATTGGGGCTTCGATAGCTAGAAGAAGATGCCGGGATATATTGCAGTAACTTCTGTTATTGCTTTCGGGTTTCGAAGGTAACTAGCGGATTAGTTACCTTCGAAACCCGAAGGCAATAGCAGCCTAGCGCACCCTAAAACCTCAAACCGGACCCCCTGAACCGCAAACCCTGCAATCTATGAGCCCTGAACTTTAATTAAAAACCTCAACAAACTTTAACCCTGAATCCGACAAATCTTTTTAGGCCTGTAAAACCCTAAAAACTAGCCCACAACCCTGAGCCTCTCAGGGGGCCATTGTAACCCAAAACCCTGCCACTCATCAGTACTTCACTCCCTTCTTCCAGGGGCCCACCTTCGACCTCTCTGAGCTTCTGAGTGCATTCCACTTTGGGATTTATAAAGTTTTAAAGTTAAGGGCCTAGGGGTTGAGGCCGTTAGGGTTTAGAGTTTTAGGGCTTATAGGGTTTAGGGATAGGGTTTTAAGGTTCGGGGTTGAGGGTTTAGGGCGGGTACTTGAGTATTCTAGGAGAACCAAAGGTTAACCTTTGGGAGGCTGTAGTACCCCCCAAAAGGTTAACGGTTTAGGGTTCCCTTTTAGAAGGGGAACTAGACTGGAAATTGCAGGCTGTCATGGCTTGGCATTTGGCGGGTGTCTTGGAGTTGGGGCTATACCAGCACTCCCAACTACTCTCTACCATACCCTAAATACCCACTATTGAGGACAACAAGGCCCTCTGTCGAAGGCTACTTGGGGGGTCGTCGTAGGTGTGTCTGGTTCAAGCATGGTCTGGATTTAGGGCTTTTTAGGTTTATGTGGGTCCAGGATGGCTGCAGACTTGGGGATCTGGGCTGGTTTTGGGTCTAGGGCCCAGGGCTTCAGGTTCGGGGTGGGTTGGTGCTGGGCTGCATGTCTGCCGTTCAAGGGTTTAGGGCTTGGGGTTTAGGGCTTAGTGGCGATTGGGGTTTAGGGCTTAGTGGCTTAGTGGCGAAAGCTGTTGTGTTGTTGAAAAACGCTGACGGCTACACAGGGCAGGCTCTATATTCCCAGGCCGTGAATGTGAGTATTGCCGTCTGGTACATGGGTCTAAACGGTGCTTGTGATCAAAGGGCTCATGGGTTTATGAAGTCAAGGACAAGGCAAGGGAGCCAATTTTCAAACACTTCCGCTTCGTTTGTGTAGAGTTTGGGGTACTTCCGGCTGAACGCGAGACACCCTAAACCCTACATCCTAAGCCCTAAGCCCTATGGTATTCCGCTGTCTTCCTCAAGTGCCCTGAGGCTCCAATATCGGGGCAGGGGAGCCTTAATAATTACTCTTACACTCCAAGCCCTAAACCAAAAATTCCTTCAAACCCTAAATCCGGGTTCCTTAAACAAAGCTAAGCCCTCAACCCTAATTCCTTAATGGGCTTCTAATGAGAGATGTTGAGGGACCAGAGCTAGGGTCCCGAGTTTTAAGCCATGGACTTCATCAGCTTCACCGAGATCTTCCCATTGCGTACCTGGCCGGGGGTTTGCTTTGGGCTTCAGGGTTTAGGGCTTAGGGTTTTAGGGCTTTGGGGGTTTAGGGTGTAGGGCTGCGCAGATTTATCCATTGTGCTGTAGGGCTTTTGTCTCCAAGCAGGGTCTTGGCGCTCCTAAAGCAACGAGTTCTCTGCGGCGAGCCTCATCGATTGAGATCCTGACTGAGCTAGGAACATTGCAAGAACATACTGCACTAAACCCTAGACCTATCCTAATTTTGCTTATGTGCTTCTTTGGGGCCTTTGTATTGG